AAATAGCTCCATCGGTGTTAAAATATATTTTTAAAAATTTACAAAACTAAACATCCTACAGTATTTTTACAGTCTTTATTTAATAGTTAAAATAAATGTTTATCAAATAAAGTCTAATGTTACAACTAATCATGGATCCCTTTAAAAGTGGAGGACATTCAGAATAACTGCGACCGTGCCTGAGTCTGGCTGTCTGAGCGAGCCCCGCCCCAGAGCAGAAACATGTTAAAAGAAGTTGCGGTAAATCCTAAAATCCCATCACACGGCCTGCAGCAGGGTCGTGCCTCTGTCGATGTGAAGGTGCGTGGCTCAGCTATCAGAAACAGTCGACACAAGTTTAATTTCGTTAAAAGAAAAAAACATAAAGGCCAGACTGAAGTTCGCCAGAGAGGACAAAGACAAAGACCACGACTTCTGGAATATTGTTCTCTGGACAGAGGAGTCTAAAATGGAATTATTTTAACACCAGAAGACATGTTTGGTGTAAACGAAAAACAGCAGTCCAAGTAAAGAACCTCGTACCAACAGTGAAGCATGGAGGTGGAAGTGTCATGGTTTGGGGATGCTCTGCTGCAGCGGGACCTGGCCAGCTCACCATTGTAGAATCCATGAATTCTAATGCGTACCAGAGGGGCCTGGAGGAACAAGTCAAACCATCTGTCTAAGCAGTTAAAGCTGAAGCGGAACTGGACCCAAAACATACTGGACCGAAAAAAGGACTGGCTGAAAACTAAGAAGTGGAGAGTCCCAGAGTGGCCAGGTCAAAGTCTGGATCTTAATCCCATCCAGATGCAACAAAACCCTCAAACATCTCACAGCTGAAACGATTCTGTGTTGAAGATGGCAGACATTATATGGCTACAAGAAGCGTCTCTGAAGTTATTTCAGATTATTAGAGGGTCCAGTGTCGTAACCTTTTCCTCCATTATAATATACATTTTTGTTCATATGTTTCATTCATTTTCTTTTCCAGAAATACACAACTACCAAGATTGGACATTGATATGTGAGCATTTCTTAATAAAGAGCTGCCTATTTAACGGGGAGTCCTCATTCTTTCACATGACTGTATATAGACCCACAAGCTGCTCTGTGTGCTTTAAAAAAAAAAAAAAAAACTTATATTGTACATAATGATGCCTCTGGTTTGTCATCAAGTGAATTTGCTTTGAGCGCTTTTATGTTGCTAGAAATCTGCTTGAAATGAAATGATCTTATTTTGTATCCACATAGTTTAATGTTTTAAGAAAGCACTGTTTTGGTCTCTTTTTGTAAATACCTTGTGGAGGAACAAAGACTGAATATATCTAATCTAAGTGAGGTAAAAATAAAAGCTGAACAGCTAGGTTCTTAGCACTTTCACTCAATGGGCTTCTTTATCATTTGTTAATGTGATATGACTATTTTAGTCAGTTTCTTACCTGGACGAATGGAGTTCTAAACTTCTATATTGCAAAAGTAGATGACAGTTTGCCAAAAAATAAATAAATAAATAAAAGACCGTAACATCTGTAGATATATTACAAGAGTGTTAGGGTCAGACTAATAGATTATTTTTTAAATCATGAGAATAAAGTCATAATATTACGAGAATAAAGTCCGGACATTTTCAGCACATATCACTTATCGCAAATTTCTGTGCCGTTTCAATAATTAATATATTAAAACGTTCAGCTCCTTCAGGACTTGGTACTTCAGCAATGTATACTTTTTGAGATATTTAGCTTTTCCTTAAAACAATTCTCACTGAAACTGAATGGAACATCCCTAAATCACTTCAAAATGTGCTTTTTATTACCTTTTGTTCTGGTTCTTTTTTTTTTCTTATTTCTTTGTGCCAATTTCAGCTTCCTTTGTCTTCTGTTTTGCTGATTTTAGCTTTTTTTTAGCTATCATTCTGACATTTTCCATTCTTAAGCCAACTTCAGCTTTGCTGTGCTTCTTGCAACTTCTTTCAGCTGTTTTCTCTTTTTAGCTATGCTTCTGCTAATTTGCAGGTTTGTTTTTTATTAATTCACCTTTTTGTGATAATCTCAGCTTTTTACTGCGTAATTCAGCAAACAAGTACGTCTTCTGTTTCTAGTTTCAGCTTCACGCTGCATTTTTGTAGGAAATGCAAATTCTCTAGCATGAGAATAAAGTCGTAATGTGAGAACTCCTACTCAAACAAGCAGTCTCACCACTGCGTTAAAATGAGGTGTTGAGCATCTTGTGAGGTTCAACTTTCGTATAGGTTTTACAAATTAAAAAAAAAAATTAAACCCATCGGCATCAAATTATCAGCAGCAGTACCTTGTTTCGATTGTGTCTATTTTGAATAAAGAGCCACACAGAAGAAACTGCTTATTTTGGGGAAGATGAGCTCAGAGAGGTTTTGTTGTTTCTCAGGAAACAATGAAGATGGTCATGAAGATTTAGGATCCTGAGAGGGTGGAACTCTGGTGAGCACAGCATCTGTTGTCAGCAGTAGAATAGCAGGGAGCCCAACGCTTAGTGACATAACTGAAGCTGTACAGCACTGCAGTTAATGGCTGCGTTGATGGGTTTAGTCGTCACGTAATATGGATGGAAGCATTTTACACTAACAGTGATCCAAAAGTAATCACATACTACTTCATAAACACGAAGACTGTCCACAGCAGGTGACTGGAAAACGGACATCATGTAGTAATTATGATTTTATTCTCGTAATATTAATAAAAAATATATTTTAGTTTGGCCCTAATACTCCATTGTAATTTGAGATGGATAGATCTGGCTAATCAGGAATGTTGCTGCACAACATTTACACTATTTCTGTTTATTCAAAACCACATAACATGCRAAACACAAATCTGGATTTAAAGTGTTATGGAATAATTATATCTGTTCTACCTCGCCACCACAAAAGAAACATATTTTTCTGACTTTATTATAAGAATATTTCTCATATTTTCCATTTGCACACAAAAATAATATACAGTGTTAAGTACACTAATTGGATTTGGTTTAAAAGGCATTTTGACCGTTCAGACGTGAACACAATACAACGCTGCAGGTTACACACAACAAAACAACATGAGTGTMTCAACTAACAAAACACTTAGTTTTAGCATTCATTTTCCACCAGTTCCAACATCCACACAAGTGCTGGGCTTTTCAGGTGTTGATATAAAAAGAAGTCAGATGATCACTGGTTATCTACACCCATTGGTCACAACATAAAACAGAGCTYGTTTGGACCCACTGGGACTCTGTGGTGTCAGTTCGTCATGTGTATTATTACTCTGTGGGTTTTGGGCTGAGGTAAGTTCTTTTCTCTCCATCAATGCTTCCACATGATTGCCAGGAGTAGATGTGTTCTAGCAGAAGCTACTACAGCTAATCATTCTGTAAGTGGTTTTAATGTGGCTGACTGGTGTTAGCATGATAGGTACGATTACAGCTGTAAACTAGAAAGCCTCTCAAAAGCCTGCAAAACCTTGTTCATGGATGAGACGAGCATTAATAAGAAAATGAAACTCACAATTACGCCTCATTTATCAGACATGAGATTCCGCAATCTCAGCAACATCACTCTCTGTCATCAAAAAAAAACACTGTTACTTTTAGTAAAGAATCATTAAAAACTGTGGGTTTTTCTGTTGCAAGATTCATAATTACCTCTGCTGGGAAACACTGAAAAACATTAAAGGATATTGGTAATGATGATCGTAGGTTTCCATGGCAACTGCAACTTTGCAAGAGCCTCTCCGGTAACTTCACCAAAAGTGCCCGCTGGCACACTCAGATGATCACATAAGAGTTTCTAAAATGCAGCTATTGTTTTTTTTTTTTTTCTTTCTCTTTTGGTTCATTTCAGTAGAAAAACTCCAAACAGGAAACAGAGAACTACTATCTGATGTTACTGCTCAGTCCTTTAAGTCACTTAGGTTTCATTTCTCTCAACTTAAATGCTTCCTGATCCAAACGATGCTATGAGGTACAAAAGAGCCACTTTTAAATGAAGCAACMCAAGCAATGAGAAGCAGCTTTGTTCCAAACAGGAGTAAAAAAGTCACAGTTTCCTTAAGACATTTGTTATTCTGCTGCACAGCCCTTTCTGCTGTCGAGTTTATGAACACAGCACATTAGCTGTYGTCGGGTACCCCGAGGYGAGGSGGGGCTGTGTTTGGGTGCCAATGTTCCCCACGAGAGAAGAATCTCTTGGTCGTGGCTCCTGAGTCAGACAGTCTCTTGTCTGTCCAGGTGTGTCAGTTACCGGTCGATGCCAGGGCTCGCCTCAGTTGTCCTTCGGCAGGTAGCCCATGTGTGCGTTGGTGAGGAAGTCGCAGGTGGGGATGCTGCTGACTGCCTGGTGGATGTTCATGGCTGTGATCTCTCTTGGAGCCCTGAAACCCACAAGTGCCTCTGTTAAGGTTTCAGGACTACAACACATTTTATCACCCCATCACTGCAAAAACACAAACACKTTCAGCTCTACTGCTCACTTAAATATTGTCTGTGGTGTACTACTCTGCAGAAAAGGACAACTTGTATTGATGTCTAACTACAGTAAAGTAATTATCAGTTGTTTATATTCTAGATTATTACAAGAATTTTACGCTTTTACTTTATAAATATTAGTCTTTGCTTTCTTACAAAACATGCAGAAGATATTTTCCACATATTATGAGACCCCAGTGTATTTACTTTATTCTAATTTGTTGTTAAAATAAAAATTGTGTAGTTATTTGGTAATACAACTATTAGGGAATAAAAATTAAAAATGAAAAGAAGTCACTAGTAAGCTRAATAAAACATAGAAAGGATTTGAAAAGTGGTGCAAGATGAAACACTAACCTGTTTGGAGGGGATTTAGTGTAGGCTCCAGCTAGAGATTCTCTCAGGATATCGCTGGCAAACTGCTCTGTGGCCTGCAGACACACAAGTCACAGAAAAACCCACCATCATCCACATATGAAACTGTTAAAACATATGTGTGTGTGTGTGTGTGTGTGTGTGTGTGTGTGTGTGTGTGT